GGCAGTTTCCTAGTCCACCCCATTTAAGGAAATACCTGGGCCTTCTCCTGGCCTGCTGGTTAAGGGAGCCAGATCCCACAAGGCTGGCTGCAGGGCTGGAATCCTGCCCTTGGTAGTTTAAGAAACACGCTGCGTGGGGCCAGCAGGTGGTGTGGTGGTTAAGGCTCCAGACTCCCAAATGGCCAATCAGAGAGCCCCAACTGGCTTTCTCACATTCTCTTTCTCTCCCTTTTTCTCCCTCCCTCTCTCTCTAATGAGCAAATGTGCCCTATAGCAAAATTTAAAAGATAATAACAATAAAATAAATACTTTTTAAAACAAAAAAACTGGTGCATGTGCATATGTGCCTAAAATCCTGACAGGGTGCAGAGGTGGAGGAGAAGGGGTTGCATGGGGTGCTTTCTCTGCCTCTCTGCCTCTCCGTCTCTCTTTGGAGAACATATGCCCTCTGGCAATTAAACGATAAACTAAAAAGTAAATGAAGTAATACCGCGCCCCATTTCTCTGCATTTCTTTTCTTTTTTTCCCTAAGTTCGTATCACTGCGTTCTAACTCTGTGAAAGCAGGGACTTTGCCTCATTCACTGCTCTTTTCCTAGGGCCTTCCTGAGCAGCTGAAAGGTGCACGACCCGTCCCAGATCGTCTGTATTTTACTAACCGCTCTACACTACGTTGTCGCATGAGTGTAGCCATCAGTTACGGTAACTCCAGAATGTTGTAACCACACCCGTAACTATTGTCAGCGTCCCTGGGATTGAAAGAGATCTCAATCCGATCATTTTATACCAAATATTGCCTCACTTTGGTGCTACAGAATGTCTGACTCAGAATATTGTTTCAGACGTTTATTTTGTTGACTTCTCATCATTAACTCTTACTGGTGCTGAGTACCTGGCAAGCACTATCCTCTGCATTTCTAACTTACTTGTCCCTCTTCACAGCTCATTAACATGAATACCATTATTTCCATTTTTCCGATGAGTGTAGAAATAGAGGTGTCCCTTGAATTGCAGAATTTGAATTTGTAACCAGTATGTTGTATTATGCCGCACTCCCTCACAAATACTTATTTCCAGGAAAAGCAAGTTATTTTATATCGTAAGATAGGAGTTCTTCGCCAGGAGTGGCAAAAGTCAGAGCTTAATGCGATCAATAGTTTCTTGTAGTGGCACCAACTATAATGTGGCTCCTCTTCGCGGTCTTGTAAGAAGTGGCTGAAATGTGTCGTAACTCATGTATTTTCAGCAGCTGAGTTCACGTGATTCTAACTAAGCATAAGTAAATCCAATCTTGAAAAGTACAAGTTAAAACTTAGAGGGCTGCCCCACACCCAGTGGTTAAGGGAGCTGAGTCCCACGTGGCAGCCATATTCGAATCCTGGCCCCATAGCACACGCATGCCAAAAAATCCTCGTGGAAAGGAGAAGTAGAGGAAATGGAGTGTGTGGCATGACCTCATCCCACTGGGGAATGCCTCCCCGCTTCCTTACTCTCGTTATCTGGCAAGCACACACACCTTGGCAATAAAAGGTTTTTTTTTTAAGTCGAGGGACCAGCAGTTAGCGCAATGGCTATGTCACTGGACTCCCATGTAGTCAACCACGGTTTGAGTCCCAGACCCCGTGGCTTAAACTCATGCAAGACGCATGTGTGTGTGTGCCTCCTTCTGGTGAGCATACACCCCTGTAGCAAAAAAAAAAAAAAAAATTTAAGTTGAAACCCAGACTAATTTATGGAATCCTGCCCTTGGTAGTTTAAGAAACACGCTGCGTGGGGCCAGCAGGTGGTGTGGTGGTTAAGGCTCCAGACTCCCAAATGGCCAATCAGAGAGCCCCAACTGGCTTTCTCACATTCTCTTTCTCTCCCTTTTTCTCCCTCCCTCTCTCTCTAATGAGCAAATGTGCCCTATAGCAAAATTTAAAAGATAATAACAATAAAATAAATACTTTTTAAAACAAAAAAACTGGTGCATGTGCATATGTGCCTAAAATCCTGACAGGGTGCAGAGGTGGAGGAGAAGGGGTTGCATGGGGTGCTTTCTCTGCCTCTCTGCCTCTCCGTCTCTCTTTGGAGAACATATGCCCTCTGGCAATTAAACGATAAACTAAAAAGTAAATGAAGTAATACCGCGCCCCATTTCTCTGCATTTCTTTTCTTTTTTTCCCTAAGTTCGTATCACTGCGTTCTAACTCTGTGAAAGCAGGGACTTTGCCTCATTCACTGCTCTTTTCCTAGGGCCTTCCTGAGCAGCTGAAAGGTGCACGACCCGTCCCAGATCGTCTGTATTTTACTAACCGCTCTACACTACGTTGTCGCATGAGTGTAGCCATCAGTTACGGTAACTCCAGAATGTTGTAACCACACCCGTAACTATTGTCAGCGTCCCTGGGATTGAAAGAGATCTCAATCCGATCATTTTATACCAAATATTGCCTCACTTTGGTGCTACAGAATGTCTGACTCAGAATATTGTTTCAGACGTTTATTTTGTTGACTTCTCATCATTAACTCTTACTGGTGCTGAGTACCTGGCAAGCACTATCCTCTGCATTTCTAACTTACTTGTCCCTCTTCACAGCTCATTAACATGAATACCATTATTTCCATTTTTCCGATGAGTGTAGAAATAGAGGTGTCCCTTGAATTGCAGAATTTGAATTTGTAACCAGTATGTTGTATTATGCCGCACTCCCTCACAAATACTTATTTCCAGGAAAAGCAAGTTATTTTATATCGTAAGATAGGAGTTCTTCGCCAGGAGTGGCAAAAGTCAGAGCTTAATGCGATCAATAGTTTCTTGTAGTGGCACCAACTATAATGTGGCTCCTCTTCGCGGTCTTGTAAGAAGTGGCTGAAATGTGTCGTAACTCATGTATTTTCAGCAGCTGAGTTCACGTGATTCTAACTAAGCATAAGTAAATCCAATCTTGAAAAGTACAAGTTAAAACTTAGAGGGCTGCCCCACACCCAGTGGTTAAGGGAGCTGAGTCCCACGTGGCAGCCATATTCGAATCCTGGCCCCATAGCACACGCATGCCAAAAAATCCTCGTGGAAAGGAGAAGTAGAGGAAATGGAGTGTGTGGCATGACCTCATCCCACTGGGGAATGCCTCCCCGCTTCCTTACTCTCGTTATCTGGCAAGCACACACACCTTGGCAATAAAAGGTTTTTTTTTTAAGTCGAGGGACCAGCAGTTAGCGCAATGGCTATGTCACTGGACTCCCATGTAGTCAACCACGGTTTGAGTCCCAGACCCCGTGGCTTAAACTCATGCAAGACGCATGTGTGTGTGTGCCTCCTTCTGGTGAGCATACACCCCTGTAGCAAAAAAAAAAAAAAAAAAAATTTAAGTTGAAACCCAGACTAATTTATAACAGCACAAGATCATGTTACTAATGTAATTTCCCGCATTACCTTCATGATTCTGGCTAGAAAGAAATGAAACAAAATTATCGTATGCTTGGACCAGCAGATGGTATAGTGGTTACATGACTGGACTCCATAGTCACCTGCGGTTTGAGTCCCAGACCCAGCAGCTTTAAACTCATGCCAGGCGTGTGTGTGTGTGTGTGTGTGTGTGTGTGTGTGTGTGTGTGCGCGCGCGCGCACGTGCCTAAGACCCCCAGAGGTAAATGGAAGAGAAGGGATTGCTGCCTGGCCATCCCCCCAGGAGATGATTTCTTACTTTCTGTTGCTTTTCTTTCTCTGTCTCTCCAGTGAGCACACGCACCCTATAGCAAAAAGTCTCTCCCAAACAAACAAAACAAACAAACATTGTACGTGAGGCTTCCTTCTTCAAGAGACTTATGTACTTTTTCCTTTGACTTTATTCTGTAGCACTTCACACACACACACACACACACACACACACACACACACACACAAATTATGTTTCCTGTAGCAACTCAGTAAGTTGCTTTCCAGAATTAATGAATTATAATTCAATGTCTCTTTATTTAATCAGATTTTAAATTCTATTTTCATTGTTAAAGAAGAGACATTAGCTTGCAGGTGCAAAACTAATATTTGATAGGGGCAAAATAAACATTTTCCTTCTTAGTTGTTATTTTACCCGTTATTTCAGTGAATGAGTTTTTGTTAATTCTAGACTCACAGGCCAGTAAACAGATGACACAGATGCTGTATTTTGACCTTACGGCACACATAGAGATAATTACATAGAATACGGAAGGGCTGACTCCAGACTTTCTTTAAGAGTATAGGTTTTTAAATAAGCAGAGCCTCTTGTTGGAATAGCAATTGATCTTTGTGAATCTAAAACTTTGAATATTTTCTTTAAGTTCTGGTACATTGCTAAAAAATTAAACTTCACAATTAACATTATACCCTTTTTCTTTGTGTTACAAATATTGTCATGACTATGCTTCAATCCATTTTAAGGCATCAATTTTCAATACATTAGAAAGTTCTAGTGTGGGGACCAGCAAATGGTGTGATGGTTATGTTACTAGACACCCGTGTAGTTGACCACAGTTTGAATACCAGACCCAGTGGCTTGAAACTCTTGCTGGGTGTGTGTGCGTGCGTGCCCAAGATCCCGAGAGGAGAATGGAGGAGAAGGGATTGCGGCGTGGTCATACCCACAGGGGACGATTTCTCTCTTTTTGTCTCTCTGGCAAATTTATACACCCTATAGCAAAAATCTCTCTTAAAAAAAAAAAAAAAGAAAGTAGAAGAAAAGAAAGTTCTAAGGTGCTAATCTTGCAGTTTAAGAAAATTGTCCTATTTTGGAGTCAGCATAGTGGTTAAGGTGCTAGACTCTCACATGGCCAACTGCCATTCTAGTCCCAGATTTAATGGCTTGCTTTCTCACTTTCTCTCTCTCTTTCTGTCTCTCTCTGATGAGCACAAATGCCCTATAGAAAATTGTAAAATATTAACAATAATAATAAATAAAATGAATAACTATTTTTTTAAACGAAAGAAAGTTGTCATATTTTACCACAAATGCTAAATAACGTGTCATTCTGTTTTCTTAGGAACTGCCTGCACCATTACTTGACGATAATTGTAAACGAGAACTTGATGAAGATGTATATAATCAGAAAACACCAGAATCTGACACTAAGATGAAAATAGCTTGGCGTTACCAGTTGTTACCCAAGATGGAGGCAAGTCAACATCCAAACTATTTCTAAAATTTGCAAATGCAGTTGTTTTCATCTCATAGAATTTCTTGTGGTATACCTATTATCCTTTAAGTGTGGTACATTGTGTGTTTGTTTATTTGAATAACTGGACATTTTATTTCCTAAGGGTTTGATCAAAGTCACATATTTCTAAAAAATTATTGCAAATTGTTTTTTAGGTTTTTTATTTTTAACCAAAATTCTTTTTTTTCTCCCATAATCTCTATATAGAATCTTTCATTCTTGAGTGGCAAGCCAGAATAAGTGAACTAGCGAAGCCACTTCTATACAGTATGGCTACCTGTCAACAGTGTAAGTGGTGGGTGTTTGAAATTGCAGTAGTCTTGGGGACCAGCAAAGGGCATAATGGTAACGTCGCTGGACTCCCACAGACTTGACCCTGATTTGAGTCCTGGGCCTGCTGACTTAAAACTCATGCCAGGGGGACCAGCAATGGTGTAATGGTTATGTTGCTGGACTCCCACGTAGTTGACCGCGGTTTGAGTTCCGGACCTAGAGGCTTAAAACTTACTCCAGGCACATGTACATTTGTTCCCAAAATCCCAAGAGAAGAATAGAGGAGAAGGGATTACGGTGTGGCCATACCCCAACCCCTAGGGGGAGTGATTTCTTACTTTCTGAGCACTTGTGCCCTATAGCAAAAATCTCGCCAAAAAAAAATTACAGCAATCTCTTTTCTGTGGCTTTCCTTTCTGTTTTCTCATTTACTCACACTTAATCATGCTCCAAAAATATTAGATGGAAAAGTCCTTGAATAAATTCATAAGTTTTAAATTGCCTGCCATTCTGAGCAGCCCCATCCCACCAGAATGTGAGTGATTCCCTTCAGCAGTGTATCCCGTATCCGTGCTGTGTGCGACCTGCCCTTGGTCACTTAGCCTGCGTGGTTAATAGATTGAAAAAACATGTACATATAGGATCCAGAACCGCCCGCAGTGCGTGTAGGGTCCAGTACTGCCTGCGGTGCACGTAGGGTCCAGTACCGCCTGGTTGCCTGCATCCATCGTGGGGGAGTGAGCCCTTCCAGGTGAGGGTAGGGTGGCTATGGTACTGTATTTATCCCCATACCTTCCCACCATTGCATTTCTAAAGTCAGCTGTCTGGTAACCTCTCCATTCCAGAATAGACTAAGAAACAGGAAAAGAAGAAAAATTTTCTGAGCAGTCAAAGCTGATGTCAGTAGACCTATCCAGTACGGGTTCACTTCATTAGTTTTCAGATCACTTTACTGGATACCAAACTTCCTAGTACTGGTAGAAAGGAAGAAAATTGGAACCTGCATAATGCAGTTCCCCGAGGCCGCGTTCTCCTCTCCCCCACACTGACATCAGTGTAGCCTTTCCGAGGAGAGATGCATTTCCAATACCCTTTACTTCCTGGGCCTCACTGGCTTTTGTTCCCACTGCCCCTTCGTCAATGTCTGGCAGGCTGTCAGCCCTTATGCCATCCTGCCAAGCCAGATACTGCCTTAGGATTCTTCTCTGCAGCCTCTTCTGGGTGGTCACTACGTTCATGTCAGTTACTGTGTGAGATGAGACCTGTTTGCTGCAGTTTGAAATGCAACTTCTCAAGATCATGTACAAATTCTGTACGACCTCTCCAAGCCTACCTGTCTTCCCCTGTGTGTGAAACCATGTACTTGCTCCTCTTCGGAGGCTCGCTCCAGTCGCTTCCCTCACACCGGCAGGGTTTCTCTCCTCCACCACCACCAGCTCCCCCTCCAGCGCAGGTGTTGCTGCCTCTGGCAGCTTTCCATACATAGCTGTGGACTCTGGTTTTCCTATAGCACTTCCTCATTTAAAGTACTTCTGTCACCTTGTTTTATACTTAATTGTTCATATAACTCTCCCAACAGATTGAGACGTCTCTGAACTTGTTTTATTTTCTCCTGTATTTCCAGCACCTCTGTCAATACCCAGATAATCAATGAATGATCGATGTATTTATCCATTCAGTCAGCAAACGTTGCTTGAACAACTGTATACCAAATTTAAAACACATATATATGAGGTATAACAAGTAACTATTAAGCAAGGGCAAATTGTCCGAATTCAAGCTTGGAAACTATTCAGTAATACAGTTTTTAAGCTGTGATTTAAATGACTGAACAAACTACAAACTGGATATGCTATATAAATCATATCATAAAATAAGGACTAATTTTTCTAATATAAAAGAACTTCTGAAATGAATAAAGTCTACAAGCATTTTTTTTTTGAGAGGTTTTTGCTATAGGGCGTGTGCGCTTGCCAGACAGACAGAGAGAGACAGAGAGATAGAAAGCGAGAAATCACCCCCCAGGGGGGATGACCATGCCACAATCCCTTCTCCTCCAATCTCCTCTCGGGATCTTGGGCACGCACGCACACACGCTCGGCGTGAATTTAAGCCACCGGGTCCGGGACGTGAACCGCAGTCGACTACATGAGAGTCCAGCGACATAGCCATTACACTAACTGCTGGTCCCTACAAGCATTTTTTTTAAATTGAGAATCATGAAAAGAAAATGTAAAGGACTCTAAAACATACAAAAACACACAATTTTAATTTTAACAAGCAATGCAAATTAAGACTACACCGAACTGCCACTTTCTCTTACTGAATGACAGTAATCTAAAGTGTTTTGTAGGACACTGCTTTAGCAAGCGTGGGGAGAAACTAGTATTCTCGCACTTTGCTGGCAGCTTCTGTGGAGGGTAGTTTGGTGGTATCTTCAAAATTACAAAAATGTGTATCCTTTGGTCTTTTGGAAATCTGTATCATGAATATAGTTACTCAGGTGTAAGAGGAAATATGTGTGAGCTATTTATACAGAATATGTTTAATAGCTAAAGACTGGAAATAAGCTAACTGTGCATCAGAACCAGAGAGGTAGATAAACGATGGTGTGTCTGAACTGCAGAGTGGTGTCCATTTGTATTTAAAATTAGAAGCAAGCTCCGTGTACTCAGAGCCGCTCTCGGGTGTGACTGAGGACAAGAGGCAGGTCGGACGGGGTTGGACCGCAGTGGGAAATGTGTCAGCGGTCGACAGTAAAACACAGGCGTAGAATTAGCACTGGACAACGGCAGGTCTTTACTCTGGCAGAATCGTGCAAGTGACTGGCTTACAGGTGACTTGTGAAGAGTGACTGCATTCTAATTTTCTGGACTAAGATGTTCTGAAAGAGTCAATGATGAACATAAAATCTAAGCTAAAGACAGGGCACCAATTCGACTGCAGATTACAGACATCCCTTGTCTCTTCCATCTCCTTTATTCTCACTCTTACCTCCTCCGGTCTTTGATCTTCTGTTGCCCATTAGCACTGGTTAAGTGAAATTGCTGGTGAAGTAACTAGAACTTGAAGCCTTCTCTTACTGCTTGCTCTGAAGTCTGTTGTGAGTCGCAGAGAAAATCCCTCGTTTCTTTAAAAATGTATTGTTTTTAATAAATTATAGACACTGCTCCAGTCCCCTCGCACGTGGGGAGGACCTCAGTCCATTCTTCCTTAGACCGTGGTGCTCCGCACTGGCTGCACATACCTGGGGAAACGTCCCAGAGGTTGTTGTCAGCAAACCCAGTGCTCGGTCTTCAAGGGGTAAAGCTTGGTTGTTTTGAGCATCGTGCTCTTCTTATAGCGATCTTCTTCAGATTACTTTTATTTCCATTTCCTTTAGGTCTCTGCTAAAATAATACTTCACAAGAGTGACTTCCTATGTCACCATATCTAGAATCAAACAACTTTCCGTCATCTCCTTTGCTGTTTATTTTTCTGCAAGGCTCCTCTCATCAAAGCTAGCAGATATTTCAGTTTTGTTACTTATCGTCTGTCCCCTCCTAGAACGTGAGCTCACTTTGTTTTATTGACACATAGTGGGTGTGTAATCGTTATTTGAGGGATGCGTGAATGAATTAATTACATAATATGTAAATTATATGCTAATTATAAGTTGCACTAATACATATAAAATAAGTTTATTTGGAATTTTCGCCATGGGCAAACTTGACTTGTATTTATAAGCAGGTTCTGCAGAGTTTAGAGAGCCGGATCATGCTCTGGCTGCTTTGCTTTTCTTTGGAATCTCCCGGCACACAAGTGTCCCTGTCATGGTCATCTTGGACATGATGACTTGCCAAGACTGAGAGGCGTTGGTGACCACTCAGCAGTATCTGCTTTATAAATCTAGGCCATACTTTGCCACTCTCAGTTTTAAAGAAACAAAACAAGCAACCTAGACTTTCTGGTGTACTTGGAACAAAATGCCGTTAACACTATTACAATTTAAGATTAAACGAGTAGTTCAAACGTAGGTGTGCTGTTATTGGAGCTGGCTTGCTGGGAGTCTTCACCAGTTCCTAGCATAGCCATAATCCCATTCAGCGAATGGGAGGAGAATATGCACGCCAGGTCAGTGCAAGAGCTCAGGGGAGAGTGTATGGTTAGTTGTTAAAGCTCCCCTTGCCTCGCCCTGTGATTCTAATCCCTCTCCAAGGGCTGTGTATGGCCTCTTCCTTAATCATCAGCCTCTCGGCCTCTCACCCCACAATTGCGTCCCTGCAGTATATTGTGATATTTACATTTTCAGGCCTGTAGCCCTCCTCCACAGCCTCTGAGGGCTTCCGCAGTTCAGGCGTGTGTGGATCTTTACTGCACTGACTTCTCGTCACTCTCCGGTCTCCACAGTGCCTTCCTGCTTCAGCCCCTCCAATCCCATGAGAGGTGTGCGTGTCCAAGGTGACCAACAAACACCATTCTTCTCGATAACACAGTGTGATTGTAAAGTGGTAGATCTCCTTGTTCTCTGGTGAATCATGGCCCAACAGTAATAATTCATCTTTACGTCGTGCTTTATAAAATTTACAAAATATTTATTGCCAGTATTGAGTTATATATTGTCTGTGGAATAATCATGAGTTCTGCTTTCTGATGACTGGACTGAGGCCCAGGGTGCTTTTAGCAACTGCAGCCTTTGCTCTCTGTTATGCATGAAGAAACAAGAAGTAAGGAAATGTCTTCTTCGGGCCGTCTACTCGTGGTGGGGCCTTCTCTGGGGGCCTCGTTTCCGACACACCGGGGGCGCCACACCTTGTTCTGTGCCGTTTCCTTCTGCACGCCCATCGGGACTCAGCTTCTAGCCTGGTACATTTCCACTGGATCATCCCATTTTATTCAACTCCACTTTCATACTGTGAAACGGCAGTTTATGAATATGAAATAAAAATTTTTATGATGGAAAACTAAAGCAACTTTTTTACCAAACTAAGTAAACTGGCTAGTTATTGCTTGTAGCTTGATATCTTTAAATGCATCTCTTTTTTTATGGAGTCGATGACAGTTTTTTATGGACAATTATTATTAGCACAATTTAGTCATCTTTTTGAGGAATTATTTAAGTCTTTGTTTTACTGTCTAGGCATCAAAAGATTTCAGTGTTTCAAAAGTTCAATTATATGCTGATGCTATATGTCATCAGTAGAAAAAACTTGCAGAACTTTTTAAATTCCTATAAGAATGTCTCTTTTTTTTATGGTAAGATAAAAGTTTTTCAGCACAAAAATTTTGGCGTCTACCTTGTGAATATTTTATCTGCCATATCCTTTCTTAATTTTAAATAAATTAATATAGTTATCATGAGAAAAGCTTCCAATTTTATTTTTACATTTCAATGAGTTATTTGTGTTCTATATGTAAACTGTCACAGCATGAAATCAATTTTCTGCTTTGATTCATCTCAAATCTGAGATTTCTATCACGTTAATATTGTCATTAGAAGCATTAACAGAGACGGCAACTTAAAAAGCATACTTTGCATCTGGGCAATGTAGTATATTTTTCTGAGTGCATAGGACTTCCAGAACCTTCAGTCCACTAATAAATTTATTAGCTCAAACTTAAAAGAAGTAGAAAGTCTCTCTTTCCTTCTGTCTCCCCATGGCCAGTCTGCTAAAATAGATTATTCATGCTTATTTGATTCAGGTAGGCTTTTGCAAGCTTCCCTACTAGGCCTGGGAATGTGGTACATTGAGGCCTTTTCAGAGGCTTCTGACATAGACCGAGCTTTTATGGCATGGTGTTTTATTATGGCCAAATCCCAGCCCCACCCAGCTTGTAGGCACTCTGCTTATTCTTTTGAATCAGGAAAGGTTATCACCTACCTTAATCCATGCTGCATGGATTAAGGACACCAGCGTGCCCCAGGATTCTCAAAGAGGATCCTGGAAACTTCTGGTTTCTTCTTTCTTGCTGTCTTTACTAAATTCTATTGGGCCTTAGGGGGATTTGCATCTGAAATGGGCAACCTGGTGTTTTTCTCAATGAAGACATCAGATCAAAGTTCAGTTAGTCAAGGCCTTTCTAAAACATTAAGGGGGCTTGGACTTACACAATAAAAAGATGAGCTCTAGCAGAGATTGCAGTGAAAACATTCGGAACCATAATCCGGATAAAGAATAGATTATAAGCCAAAGAACAGACCTTGTTTAAATTGCTTTAGACTAATAACATTTTAAAACTTTATACCCGATCTTATTGTCATATAATTTATTTGTCTGTACTTTTATGGCAAATGATAAATCACGCTTTGGGAATCCTAATCTTGTTCACTTTGCATTGAAAAGAGTTTAAAGCTAACTGACAGATTTTTTTCATTAATGAAAATAAGTGGCATCTTTACAGGGATGAGCAGTCATTTTATTTAAAAAATAAATGCTAAACCCACAGGCTGAATTTGAGAAAAATGTTCCTATTAGATTCTTGAAATTTTCATTCCATTTTACTGTATAATTTTATGTTTATAGGTTTTTACTTTAAGAATATGAACCCTTAAAGTATTCAGTACAAATATCCAGTGTCAAGCAATATGAATTTCTTATCAAAATTAAAAAGTTATCACTTAGAGATGAACCTACTGTATATGTAGGTTCATTCAGTTTAGATGACCTAGGTTTGCTGAATGTCCTGAAACTTGTCCGTTTTGTGGCATTCAGGATAGTGAATATTATATAAAATTAGGTAATTCAGAATAGTGAATATTATATAAAATTAGATCATTCAGAATAGTGAATATTATATAAAATTAGATCATTCAGAATAGTGAATATTATATAAAATTAGATCAGAGCTCTCCTGGAAATCTATTGCCAGGTAGGATTGTTAATAGTTTGGCTTTATATAGAATGCTATGTGTTTCTAATGCATTGAATAAAAGAAATCAGCCCAGAGTTTGTTCAAAGCACATAATAACAACAACGTTTGGTTAGTAGACTTTTACCCTACTAGCTAAATAAATTCACTGTCAATAATTACTGTAGTTTCTGATGAGAAAGATAATTTATTGGAAAAATTGTTAGGAGAAAAAAGAGGAATTAGCTCAGTACTAACGATCATGCCAGATCCTGATTGACCTTACATGTCTTTCAGCATGTACGATCCCCCACGTTGTCACCTGCCTTGTCCCTGTCTGGAGTAGTACAGTATATTGTAGCCTCTAAGCTTAATTTTAAGTTTGTAAGAAATATTGAATATATGTATGCATCTCTTGTGAGAATTTAATCTAAGTGATACTGAGTTTAATTTATTTTAATAGCTGATTTCTTTTGGGTCTCTCACCAATAAATTAATCTGACTTAAGTTTTCATTTAGTTTTTAGCAGCTGCATATTTAGTTGTCATTAAAACCCGGAATCTCAAGGGTTAATTAGAAATCATGTATATTAGATTTTTGAACTCAGGAACTGATACAGTATAATACAGTATGGTATAAAAAAAAGGCCTATTAAATTCTTATCAAGCTTAGAGAATCATTAGGTGCAAAGAAATAAAGAAATATGAGAGAGAAAAAGGTCAATTTCCAACTATAGATTGTTTAAAATAATTAAAGTTGTATGCTTCTATGGAATACATATGAAAAACATGCTAGGTGCATGTGCGTATGTGCCCAGAATTCTGAGAGGAGAATGGAGAAGGGACTGCAATGTGGTCACCCCTTCTGGGGGATGCTTTCTCACTTTCTCTCTGTTTGTTTCTCTTGGTGAGCATACACACTCTGCAGCAAAAAATTTAAAACATAATAATAATTCTAACAACCAGTATGGGTTTTTTTTAAGCAGGTTGGACCAGTATCATCCTCAAGATTTGGTCACTACTATGATATATCAAAAAGGATGCCACAAGAATTCATCGAGTCGTCAAAATGGCATGGATTTTTCCTTCCAGAAAAAACATCTTCAACTCTTGGAGTAGAATCCTGGTAAGTTAATGACCAGTATAATAGCAAATTCTGATTTCAAGATTGGTAGGATACATTTCCACTACATTTTTGAAAGAATGTGTGTCTAAGGGCACATACCGGGATAGCCATCCTACTTTTCTGCACAGTATGTCATCTCAGCTGTAGGTACATTTCACAATATAAGGGCACTTTCAAAAAGTGGGCAGAGGATGCAGTTCAAGTACAAGATAATTTTGGCACAAAAATTTTTGAAATCTATGATTCATAATGTACATTTTCTATGAACTTTTTTTTTTTAGAGAGGCTTTTTGCTAGGGCACGTGTGCTCTTTAGAAAGACAGAGACAGAGAGACGGAAAGTGAGAAATCACCCCCCAGGGGGATGGCCATGCTGCAGTCCCTTCTCTCCTCCATTCTCCTCTCAGGATATTGGGTACACACACATGCCCAGCCTGAGTTTAAGCCACCCGGTCCGGGACTCAGACCGTGGTCGACTACAGTCCAGCGACATAGCCATTACACCAACTGCTGGTCCCATTCTATGAACTTTTCGAAGACCTCTCATTATCATGTGTGGCTTTCTTTCTGTTCTGACCCTGTACCTGTCGGACCTGCTATTAATCTAATTACAACTTGAAGTCTGGATACCAAATTTAAAATAGTTGCTAGTTTTATTTTAAGAAAATATTGAACACTTCTAAATCAGTGTCTTTCAGTTCTAAGTGCAGATAGATACTTAATAAATACTTATTGATAATAATAGCAAAGAAAATGATATAAAGTGATGCTGCTTGCTTCGTGTTTTTGGTACATTCTCGTTCAGAAAGTAAGTCTATGGCTTTCAGTACATCAGTTGTTTAAGGTCTCTAAGTATTACACTGTGAATAAAGCAGTCTTTATTAATAATTTCCAGCAATGTCAGAGCATTTAATTTGAGTCTTACAATGAAGAGTTGTATGAGGGAACCTGCAGTTAGCGTAATGGCTATGTCGCTGGACTCCCACGTAGTCGACTGTGGTTTGCGTCCTGGACCCGGTGGCTTAAAACTCACACTGGGTGCGTGTGCGTGCGTGCCCAAGATCCCGAGAGGAGAATGGAGGAGAAGGGATTGCGGCATGACCATCCCCACTGGGGGGTGATTTCTCATTTTCTGTCTCTATGTCTCTCTGTGTCTGTCTGGCAAGCGCACGTGCCCTGTAGCAAAAACCTCTCAAAAAAAAAAAAAAAATGAGTTGTATTAAAACAACCCAACATGATTATATTGCTAATAACTTTATTAAGGCAGAACTCTGAAAATTACAGGACTTGACATTGAATAATTTGTAAAGTATTAAGAATACTTAATTTCAGTTTTTACTGCAATAAGCCATGAAATAGTTTGCTCCTCTGTTTTCTTTAACACTGTGAAACTGTTATTTTCAAAGTGAGGTAAGTTATTAAATGGAAATGTAATAGGCAGGGACCGAAATGACTGAAAAATCTATACTGTCTTTACAAATAATGCACCAAGAATGTAGTGAAGCCTGCTCTACTTTATTTACTAACTCTGGTTTTGTTTTAACGTTCTTTTCTTTATTGTGAAGTCCTCCCATCCATGGCTCAAAATTTAGCCAGAGCCCTGATGTGATGAGATCTTAGCAGCTCTTCACAAGTGACTGCTTGTGGTGGCCACTGCCCTGTGCACTTCGCGTTCATTCGCTTGGGTATTCCTGTAACCCTGTACAAGTACGTGTTCCCATTTCCAAAAGATACTCAGCTACTAAGCAATAGAACCAGGACAAATCTGCCAGATGCACCTTTTTTCTTTTTGTTTTACCATTTCAGAAGATTTTAGTGTCTTACACTTTATCTACCTGAGTTATAAGGAAAGAGCACTGCTTACAGAATTTTTAAAGCCTGGATTCTCCTAGTGTTTGTTTACTTGGGAATCTTTTTAGGTTTCTGCCATAGAGTGCATGCACCCACCAGACAGAGACAGAGAGTGACACTGAGAGAGAAAGTGAGAAATCACCCGCCTGGGGGAATGGCCACACCATAATCCCTTCTCCTTCATTCTCCTCCCGGGATTTTGGTCACACATGCACATGAATCTGGCATGGTTTTCAAGCCCCTAGGTCCTGAACTTGAACAGTGGCCAGTCATGTGGGAGTCCAGTGCCTTAACCCCCATGCCAACTGCTGGCTCTGGGCAGATCTTCTCATTTCAGTGAAAGTCCATATCCTCATGAAAACTTACGGATGGAGGAAGGGGAAATAGTGCCTGCCCTACCTGCAGCACTGTTTTCTCCCCTTCAGTTTAGATGATTACATTGACTATACTAATTCCCAGTGTTTGCCACCCACTGAGCCGGATATACATTTACCTGGAGACTTGGGGAATAGGTCAAGATTAATTCCCTTTATTTCTCAAATGGTGGTGGAATTCTGACTCAGGGTCAGTCCTCTCTAATTTAAGAGTCTATGTTGGGGGTGGTGCAGACAGTGAGTGGCACAGCAGGAGTGTGCTCTGCCAGAGGGACCCACACGAAAGGTTCTGAGCTCACATCTGGAGACCTCCCTGAGTACGCTGGGCATGCTGAGCCTGTGGTCTGGGACTGGCTGAAGCTGGAGTGGTCCATGGTGTTGAGACCCATTGGGAGTGCTGTCTCTCTGTCTGTCTCTTCCTCTCTTTCTCTCTGCTTACTTATGGAAAAAATAAATACATTTTGTTTTTAAACCTGTTAGCAATAATGCTATACTGCCTCTACTCTTGGGAGTACTTATGGAAATAAATATGAAATGTAATTAAATTTTTTAAAATACAGGATTACTTTGTAATTAAAACATATATTCTAAGCTTAATGACCAGCAGTTGGTGTAATGGCTGTGTCACTGGACTCCCATGTAGTCGACCACAGTTCGTGTCCCGGACCCGGTGGCTTAAAACTCATGCCGGGCACATGTACGTGCGTGCCCAAGCTCCCAAGAGGAGAATGGAGGAGAAGGAATTGTGGCATGACCATTCCCCCTGGGGGGTGAGTTCTCGCTTTCTGTCTCTCTGTCTCTCTCTGTCTGTCTGGCAAGCTCATGCGCCCTATAGCAAAAACCTCTTTTCTAAGGATAAAACTTTCTTTACATTAGAAAGTACAATGTTTTTCATTCATTCAACAACTAAAAGGAGGGAATTAATACCTATTTTAGACTGGGCACTGTTCCAGGCATTTGACCATTGGATATCTCATTTAATTCTTCCAGCAACTCTCTGAGAATGGTGCTATTATCCCCGTGTTGTAGGAAACTCGGGGTCCGAGTTGGAAATGACTTTTCCCCGTGGCAGGCTGTGAGTAGCTCAGCTAACACCAGCCCGGGCTTTCCCCCGGCTCTCTCTGTGCCACACCGTGCCACACCATCTGCAGTATTCCGACACAGCAGTCGTGCAGCCCACCAAGTGGGGTGCCAGGTCACCCCGACCAGCTGTGAGCCACAGTTCTGTAGCCTGGGAGGTGCACCTCTCCTGAGCATTTCCTGAGAACTGGTAGTTTTGCACAGAATAGGAAAATTTATAGATTTTCGTTATCAAGTCAGTATTTCATTTTATAGTAGTTAACTGATAATGCATTTATTTCATATTAAACTTAAATGCTTAATTAAATGTAATTAAACTTAAACATGTAATTAAATTAATTTTGAAAATGGGCACTTTACTGTGTGAGATTTATTTTAATTTATGAAAAGCGCGTGCTCATTTCACTAAAATGAACTTTCCTGGTTCATTTATAAAACAATAAAGCCGAGTCTTATGGTGATCTATACTTCCCTGTAATTAGGACTAGCGGGTGTAACCGTGTCCCACTGTCGTAGGGAAGAGTAGGGTGTATAATTTCATCATTTCTAAAAGCACCATTGAGACACGTAAAGTTTTTAAAGTAAGAAAAACTAAAGGTCATTTGAAATCTGCAGTAACTAATTTAAATTTATAGGTAGATTTGACTATGGAAAATGTTCATGCATACCAATTAAATTTTCAAATTAAAGGCCACATATGAAAACCTGACATGTATTATAATGATATTATCAAAATAGTTTTATTTTGATATTTTTTCTGTCATAAATTAAGTAACCTGAGTCACAAAAAAATGACCAAAAAAAAGCTGATTTAAGAATAATTCTGGGGAACCAACAGTTAGCGTAATGGCTATGTCACTGGACTCACACGTAGTCAACCGCGGTTCGCGTCCCGGACCCGGTGGCTTAAAACTCACGCCGGGCACGTGTGCGTGTGTGCCCAAGATCCCAAGAGGAGAATGGAGGAGAAGGGATTGCGGCATGACCATCCCCCCTGGGGGGGTGATTTCTCGCTTTCTGTCTCTGTGTCTCTGTCTGTCTGGCGAGCACACACGCCCTATAGCGAAAACCTCAAAAAAATAATAATAATTCTGCAGTCTAAGTTTTTAAAAATCTGACATTGTTTTGAACTAAGCTTTGTTGACAGGTATGTCCAAGGACAGTTCAGTTTCCTGTCTGGAAAGATTCTACCATCCTCAAGGTGGGCACAATGTCAGCTTTCTTATTGATTAATAGGTCTGTTACTACACAGCTTAACCAACTGCTGCCAACAGTGTGTTTGAGTACCCCCGGAATTCATATCCTAACCCCCAATGTGACAGTATTTGGAGATGAGGCCGTTGGGAAATAAGTGGATTTAGATGAGGTCAAGGGAGGTGATCATGCTCTGAGGGGTCTTTGTGCCCATGTGAGGGAGACACAGGAGCCCCAGCCTTTGGTCAAAGGCCCCGGGAGGCCACACCGAGTCGCCTACTGTCCCAGCCCAGTAGAAGAACACTTGCCAGATACCACTGTCTCCAGAGCTGTGAGAAAGTAAACCCCTGTTGAAGCTACCCAGTCTGTTATATTTTATTACAGCAACCTATCCTAATTCACTTGTGCTCCTATAACAAAATGCCTGAGACTGGGAATTCATGAGAAACAGAAATTTATTTTTCATAGTCCAGAAGCTGGAGAGGCCACAGTGACAGCACAG